TATAGAAAAAAAAACATTATCATCATCATCAAAGCAAAAAGGTTTTTAAATAAAAATTATTACTTGTTGCAATTAGGTATCAGTAAAAGAAAAGTCTAATCATTGCTGGATTTATATTTCAAGATAATTCAGTGACTCCAGCAGATCTGAAAATTATCACCCTAAAGTGATATGTACCACCTAGTTTTAATACTCTCTGGTTTTGTTTGTAGAAGCATGTATCTGTGGTTTAGTTATTGTCATTACATCTGTGTTCCATTTTTATATTTATTTGTCATGAAATGGGCTTTCAGCTACAAAATCCTGATTTTGATTTTTTACTTACAAGAAATAAAATATCCCAAGCATTCAGAATCAAGCAAGTCTTATATTGATGTCCTATTGGAAATCTGCTCACAGTGTCAATTTGTCATGTTGGAATTCTGCCCACAGAGCCATTTATGTCCAAGGTTAAGTATCTATCATGCTCATTACATTAAATGTCAGGCTCAAGGCAAACAGCCAATGTTGGATACTCAGGTTCAGTGACCAATTTGTAAACAAACACGGAGAGCTGAGGAGTCGTAAGAGGCTTAAAGATCACTTTTACTCTGGTTCTCACACAGACTCCGAGGAGAAGGGAGCCACGATGCACGGCTGACTGTGAGCCATGTGGCACATGCACAAAAGAGCCTCAAAGCCTCACCACACTGGGTAAAGACATAAGCCTTCCCATGAGCCACCCAGGAATGTTCCCACCACACTCTTACAGTGCTCAGAGGAAAGGTGGCTCTGTGTCATATTCTGCACAAAGATTGTGCGGTTACACTCAAAACAATGCACACGGACCCCTACTTTTATCACTCCACACACCTGTAAGATTACACTTGAAACAATGACTGAGCACAGCAGGACTGCGCTTGCTCAGACATGGCTGCAGTCTTGCTAAAGCTGTTTGTGATTTTTAGAAGGCACATTACAGGTTAGAATAAACCTGCCTTGCCAGGTATCCACAACACATTGCAGTCCTCAACAGTTAATGACCCTTGAAGAGCCCAGCAACAAACCAACTTTAATTCAGATTGACAAGAAAAAAGAGTAAGGTTGCTAGGAACCTGAAGGAATAGAACTTAAAGTGGGCCCACAATCCCTGACTCGTGGTCCTTAAAATCTTCAGTAGTTCCCTCCTTATGAGTGTAGCTGAGACTTAGTGAATCGCTTCTAACAGGAGAAAACAGCAAAGGCAATAGGACGCCTATTTCTGCACAGAACTGCACTGGCAGCCTGGCTAGGGAAGACTCTCACTGGCTGTGAAAAAACCTGGCTCCATGCTGGGAAGCTGCCAGTGGAGGGGCCACATGGAAGATCTTGGAGAACTGAATTCTGCCTCAACAACCATGTCTACACGGAAGGAAATGCTTCCCTTCTCAAGTCTAAGATGAGATCAACCCAGGCAGAACCGTGAAGTCTTCCCTGAACCACAGAAACTGTGAGAGAATAGAGTGCATGTCATTCTAAGTGGTTCAGCACTTGGCTGCTAACCAAGAAGCCTGGGGTCTGAACCCCCACAGCCACTGAACGATGCAGCGCTCAGGGACCCGTATGGGGCAGGTCTACTCTAGGCTACGGGGTCTATGAGGAGGAGCCCACTCAACAGCAATGGGTCTGATCTGGTTGTTTTTAGAGGAAGCTTGTAGTAATGCTGTTCCACAGCAACAAAGGATATAAAGTCACTAAGAAAATGTCACTATTTCTCCAAATACAAGAACACGTAGCAGAAAAGTAATCTTTTCCATTATTTTTTTTAATAATCTTCAGTAAACAGGGGTTTTAAGCGGTTAGCTGATGAATATGACAAGAGGTGACATGAGATGAGTTTTGCTGGTTTTTTTCAGTAGAGAGTCATGTTGCAGTCACCAGAAGGATTTTGTTATTCTTCCTACAATATAGGAAAAGAAGTACCTTTCTACCTCTGTCAAGGGGTACTTGTTCTTTGACTGGAGAAAGCGAAGTATATGAAGAAGAAAGTACTTTGATGTTTACATATTTATAGTCTCGTTAATATCCTCTCTGTTCTCTCCAAAACTTTATAATTGCTCAGTAAGTAGTCCATACCCAAAAATTCTTACTGGTTTATTTCTCAGTGACTTCTATTGTACTAAGTCTGCAGTCAGGGACCTCTCCAAACTACTGAGGACCAATGATGTCCTTTTGGGGCTAATCTACACCTGTTTCAGGAAATGGTCTTTAGAGTTATATGCTATGTTCCTAAAACCTGGGCAATAAATAAGGATGATAGAGGAACTGATGCCTTTGAACTGTGTTGGAGAAAAGTGCTGAAGATTCCATGAACTGCCTAAAGAACAAACAGGTATGTCTTGGAATGGATGCAGCCAGAGTGCTCCTTGGAGGTAAAGATGGTAAAACTTTGTCTCATATACCTTGGGTATGTTGCTAAGAGAGGCTCATTCCTTGGAAAGGGAAATAAATCGTAATTGAGAAGATGGAGGGACAAAAGAGAGGAAGACCCTCAACGAGGTGGACTGCCACAGTGACTGCAGCAATGAGGTCAAGAATGTCAGGAAAGGGTTAGGTTGGCAAAAGACAGGAGAGGGTTCTGGTCTGTTGTTCATAATGTCTCTGTGAGTTGTACTGGACTCGATGGCACCTAACAACAACCACAACACTATTGTAATAAAGCATGCAAACACAGATGTCTGAATGTCTCAGATCAAAATGTTCATTACTATATCTTGGTCAACAAATAGCACTTACAGTAACTTTTTGTATTTTTTATAGTAACTTTTGCTTTAATATTTAGAATATTTCAATTATTTCCACTCCTAATAATAAATTATATTTCAATCATCTACGTCTGTAGGAAAAGAAACAAACTCTAAATTACAGGCCCCAAACTGAAAAATTAAAACTGCTTTGCTAGTAGCAAAAAACAGATATAAACTCTGAAGTTTCAAACACTTCAGGTACCCTTATGAGCATTACGTTACTGCTTCTTCTATTATATATAATATATAATGCATAACAAAGAGCCTTAGTGGTACAGCAGTTATGTATTTGGCTGTTAACCAAAAGGTCGGTGGTTCAAGCCCATTAGCCACTCTGCAGGAAAAAGATGAGGTCATCTGTTTTTATAGATTTACAGCCATGGAAAGTTACGGGACATTTCTACTTGGTCCTATAGGAATTCAGCTAGAATCAATTTGACAACAATACGTTTGACTTAAGTAATGCATGTCATAAAAACAGAATGGATACAAATGCACCAATTTCTGTCACAGTTTCTACTGTAGTTTAATATACGTATTATCAAAATCAGTTCTCTCATTCACCATACACTCTGACAGGAATGCCCAAGAATTCAATAAATGGCAGCACAAGGCAGCACAGAGCCCGAGAAGACAGGGAAAGGAGCTGTGCTCCTTGTACGGATGGGACTTTTCTATACACAGTGCTATGAAACACTTATATGACATTTCACTTTAAAATTTTAAATATAATGAACATTCAAGGTAACAAACCCCAGAAAGGTTCATAAAAGTTACTCACTCTTTTCACTCTCTCTCACATTCTCAGACTCCACTAAATGAACTGAGTGCATAGCAGACATAATCTTCTGAGCAACACTGGAGAGCGGTGTTTTATAGAGACCAAAGCCTACTAATGCCTCATCATTTTCCATTGTCATAAAATCCTAAACATAAGATAAATGTCTATGTATTAATTTTGAGACTTTGAAATAAGAAATGCTCTATTTAAAAATTTTATATACTGAGCCTTTCATAAAAATGAATTATCTGCACAGTAAACAGCTATCTATTAAGCCATCACAGACCGGATAAAGTAAAAAGATCACAGACTCCATTAGAGTGGTGGTGTTGTTAGGGGCTGTCGAGTCTGACTCACAGTGACCCTATGAACAACAGATCTGAACCCTGTCCCATCCTGTGCCATCCTCATCTTCTCCGACACACTGGATCCCAATGCCGTAGTAACTGTGTCAGTCCATCTGGCTGAGGGTGTTCCTTGGAGGTAAAGATAATAAAGCTTCATCTCATATACTTTGAGCCTGTTTCCTGAAGAGGCTACTCCTTGGCAAAGGGCCATCATGCTTGCAAAGGGAGAGGGCCAGTGACAGAGAGGAAGGTCCTCAACCAGATGGATTAGAGAGTCAGGGGAAGCAAAGAGGACAAGAAAGACTCTATTAACTTCCCAAGGTCTGAAAACACCTATTATTAGTCCTCAGCTACACAAATCTACTAAAATAAAAGGTACTGGATAGTTAGAGTGGGTACACAAGAACCATCCTACTACTTACTATTCAGCTCCTTGGGCTCCAGGCTAGAGGAGCAGTAGGGGCCAGTTCAATCACCAAGCATCCTGTCTCACATCTAACACAGCTGGCACTGAACTAAATAGAACTTGCTATCATGAACAAATATACCAGGTGCTACATTTTTCCGTATTCTTGGAGAAATGAAAAAAAGTATTTCATCAAAAGGCAAAACAGGGAAAAAACTGATCAAGCATAAATAAAAAAAATATCACTCGAGTGCAAAGCAACTGACAGTAAAATCTGGACAAAATTTATTGTGTTACAAAATTTTCAAGTATATTAAGATCTACTTAATATGAATTTTTAAATGCATAAAAAAACTGGCAAAAATATTTTTCTTCAGTAGATTAAAAAATTAAAGGCTCATCTTTTACCTACAATTTTGGCTTTATATCAAAACAGGTCCATAAATATTACCTAAAATACACCATTTTAGACTGGTATTTCATACCAACAGCAGGTAAACAGTCTTGGAAGAAAACAGCTATGCCATATCGTTTTCTCTATGAAACCTCTCATAATAAGTTAAGACAGTTATTGGGCACTTGAACAACTTCAAATTACTTCATACCACCATCAAGCAATTTCTGCCTAGCTGGCTTTTTTCTTCTTTTTTTATCACAAGGAAACAGATTATAAAAAGCAGTGAACATCCTTTTTAGCCAACACTTTAACAAAATTCTAGATTCCCGCCAGTCATTCACGGTGCAAGCCAGTGAATTCAAAGAATTCTTGTGGGTCTTGTTGAAATTTTGAGTCCCTAGGATCCTGCCCCTAAGCAAAGGCCAACAGAATACTGATATTCTTTCTAGTGTAAGCAGAAATACTAAATTAAAACAGCCTCAAAGACTATATAGCTAGGGAACTGTGGGGAAATGACACTTGAAGGGTACACTTTTGCTTAAAATCAAATATAAATGTACCTAGCCACACCACAATTTAAGGCTGATGGATTAAATAAGGCTAACTCAAATTTATACAAACATTTTTAATATTTAAATACTGGCCTACTCTTTTTTTTCATTATATAATTTTGCTTTCTCTTTGTAAGTAATAAATCTCCAGAAGTGATATCTCACCCACTCAAGTGCCACCAAGCACCTGCTCGAGTCATAAAAAGCTGTGGCTTTTTGAATAAGCATGTCAAATATTAAGAAAACACCAAAGTGATACACTTGAGTTCACTAAGTAAAATGTTCCATTGACCTCGAGTCTAAAATATAGTTAGAAATGCTATAGTCTCCTAATTTGTGAAACATTAAAACAAAACACATTCCAAATCAAGATAGTAGTAAAGATTCAATTTCAGTAATTTTCAATCTTCAACGCCAGCAGCTTGAATCTTTGACTGGCTTTCCAGATTCTCCACTATATTTTTCAGATAATCTTCATCTTTAAAAAAATATACATAGAGTTCTCTTTCCATTTGTTGCAGTTTATTAGCTGCCAAAATTTTTCTTTTTGTCTTTACATCAGCAAGAATATCTGTAAGGAGATGATTTAGCTTATTCAGATGAGATTCAACTTGATGAAACTGCTCCATTAGCTCCTAAGGAAAAAAAAAACAAAAATGCTTTCAATTCAAGAACAGTATTTATATTGTCAATAATAAATTTTAAATGTCATTTACATGGAAAGAGTCTAAATTATTTTATAATATTCTCACATTTTTAGCAATAAGCAAATCTCAAGTAAATATATACCTAATAAGGGTGGAGTGGGTAAAGGAAATCAGAACGATCCAGTGCAAAAAACAATGTATACAAACTCTGTAAGTGAATCAGTATAAAATAAAAATTTTATTTTTAAAAAACCCTAATAAATTTACTATAAACTCTGTGAAATCAAGTGTAACAACTCCTGAAAGGACAGTTTAAGTTATTCAAAATAAACTCTTACTTCCTTACCGTATCTGCTATGTAAATTGTTTTCTATATTTACATTGTTTTCAACAATTAATGAATGCCTCTTCTCATATCGTAATCACTGTTTTAGGTAGGAGAAATAGAACAACAAACTTTCCCTCACATAGCTTACATGTGGCTTAACTAAACAAAACTTGCCTTGTTTATTCTAGGCCAATGAGGTACCCAGAAATATTTAAGACAAAGCAACTTCCAATAAAAAATAATTACCTCACATATTTTCCACTTTTTTCTTTTCAAATTGTTGTTATTGTTGTTGCTGTTATGTGCCATCGAGTCGCTTGCGACTCATAGCGACCCTATGTACAACATCCCTAAACCCTGCTCTGTCCTGTGCCAATCGCACCGTCTCCGACACACCCATCCTGATTACCCCAGTCACTGAATCAATCCACCTCATAGAGGGCCTTCCTCTCCTGCGCAGTCCCTCCACCCTACCAAGCATGATGTCCTTCTCCAAGGACCTGTCCCTCCTTGCAATATGTCCAGAGTATGACTAAGCCCCAGAATCCTTGCCTCTAAGGAGCAGCCCAGTTTGACCCTTTCCAGGATGAATCTGTTTGTTTTCCTAACAGTCCACAGTACCCTCAGTACTCTTCTCCAGCACCACAGCTCAAAGGCATCAATTCTCCTTCTATCCTCCCTAGTCATCGTCCAACTCTCTGATGCATAACAAGTGATTGCAAAGACCATGGCCTGTATCATGGCCTTAGTCTCCAAAGAGACACCACTGCTCTTCAGTACTTTGGAGAGGTCCCTAACAGCAGACGTTCCCATGGCAATACGTCTTCTAATTTATGGTATAATTACTATTAGGCTTAACAAAAAAAGCAAAAAGAGGAAGAGGGGGTGGAAATTCTGACTTATGTAATTCCCATGCTTAAAAATGTAGACCTGCTGGACCAGTCCCATTGAACAAATTCTAACTCCTCACTTCCTAGCACTTAATGTAGTATTACTGAAGTTTACACAGCTTTCTAATGAGGTAGTCTACGCATACATTTTCATCCACCAACACCAAAGAAGTTTTCAGAAAATCTATACCTCTAACTACCTCCATCTACCAGTTTGTCAGAATAAGCACCTAGGATGCCTGCGACAATTACAGATTTCTTCATGCCAGACAAGTTACTTAAGCTCTGGCAAAGGGGAAGGAAAAGGCATTTCACCAAGCCCCTTAGGCAACTCTAACATGCAAGTTCAGGAATAACTGCTCAAGATTTGTCACAAATGTCAGTCCACAACAGTACTAATTTCCTTACTAAAAATAAAGTAGTATCAGTATCTAATATCTATTATAGCAAATAGATATATATTAAGCAAAATCCTTTAGAAAAATTAGATGAATATACTGAGAAACTATCATTTTTAATTTCAACTGAATACTGAAAATCTTAATAGCTTCTAAAACACTACTTGGGTTGTAAACCATCAAGTTAGAACCAACCCATCGCAGATTCTCTAGCATGTTTTCAGAAGCCATTTAATCACACAGGAGGAAATGCCTAACTTTCTCCTGAGGAGCAGCTGGTGAATTTGAACCACGTGCCTCTGGGATAACAATGCAGCGCCAAACCAGTATGCCACCAGAGCTCCCTAAAAAATTGTTCAACTTCATTAATAATAAAATTAAAACTTGATAAAATATTTTGTATCACACTGAGCTCAAGTGAAAAACATTAAATAATACTATCCAGTAACATTATAGGAAAATTACTATGTATAAGTGATTCTAGCATAGTTTTTTTAAATATATTTGAAATCAAAAAGCATCTCTAAATCAAAAACATACCAGGATTGCTATGTACTAGGCATCACTTTTGTTGACGCTGTTGTATGCTGTAAAGTCAGAATCTACTCACAGCTGAGCCTCCAGCAAGTTTTCAGAGGCTGTAAACCGCAGAGGTAAATATTATTAATCTTTCTCTCTCAGTGCAGCTGGTGGATTTAAACCACTTGCCTTTGGGTTGGCAGCCCTAACCCACTACGCTTACCACTAGGCTACCAGAGCTCCATTGTTGTTAGGTGCCATCAAGTCAAGCACAACTCATAGTAACCCTATGAACAAAAGATCTGAACCCTCTTCTATCCTGAGACATCTTCACACTTTCTGACACACAGGAGCCCACGGCAGCAGTCACCATGTCAATCCACCTGGTTGAAGGTCCTCCTCTCCTTCGCCAACCCTCCACCTTTCCCAGCATCATGCTCTTCTACAAGGAATAGCACCTCCTAACAACATGCTCAAAGCATATGAGACGAAGCTTCATCTCTCTTGCCTCCAAAAAGCACTCCAGCTGTACCTTCCCCAAGACATATTTGTTTGTTCTGTTGGCCATCCATGGAATGTTCCGTGTTCTTCAACACCACAGCTCAAAGGCATTAATTTGTTTTCTATCACCCTTTTTCACTGTCCAGCTCTCAGGCACATAGCAAGTAAGTAGAAAGATTGTAGCCTGAATCAGACACACCTTGGCCTTCAAATTGACATCATTATTCCTCAATAATTTGGAGAGGCCCCTAACTGGAGATTTTCACAGTGAAATGCATTTGTCTCCTTATTTCCTGATTACTGGCAATCAGAATGCCATAGAAATATTATTACCCAATAAAGTTATTTAAGATAAATAAAAAATCATTAACAGAATAGAATGAAGGATAGAACTATCTAAAAGGAATATATAATTAGGCATTATGGGTATGACAACAGTCCAGAATAAAAGGTACACAAAAAAGAGGTCTGAGAGAGGGGAAATGGAGCAGAGGGAGGTAATTGTGTATGAATATTAAAAAGAAAAAAAGTGAACCGAGGTAGGGTAAAGGGAGGAAGAAAATGTAACAATGAATGAAAACCTAACTTTTCTGTAAACTTTCACTGAAATCACAATTAAAATAAAAATTTTATAAAAACAAAAAGGTTAAAGGGGCATGGAAAGCCAAATGGTTTGATTAACCATAATTTAGTTCACCAACTTGGATATAACCTTTAAAACCATCTCCAAATACATAATAGGGAAAAATTATAATTTGTTTACTAATAGATGAAGACAAAATCAATAATGCGAGACACAGAAAAAACTTGTTTGGAGGAATGACAGGCAAGTGTTTCAGAACAATCTGCCTATGGAAAATTATTTAAAAAATGGAATTTAATATTTAATAAGTATGATTACAAGGCATTAGAGAATTTCTATGTTCAGCTTTTTGAGAAAGTGTAAAACTGCCTTCCAGAATGGTTGTACCATTTTACAATCCCACGAACAATGTTTAAGAGTTCCTTTCTAGCCAGTTATTTCACTACTAGGAATATACTGTGAGAAAATGAGAACTGAGGCCCAAACGGAGACTTGTACACCAATGTTCATAGCAGCATTATTCACCATTGCAAGAACATGGAAACAACCTAAACGTCCAGCCAAAAAAGAACGAATTGAGAAATTGTTACATTCACACAACAGAATACTATACAGCACGCAGGAGTAATGATTTTCTAAATTATTACCTAACTTTGGAGGAACTGGAGAGCATTATGTTGAGTGAATTAACTCCCACAAGGATAAATATTTTATAAAACCATTATTTTAGAATGAGTATAAGAATCCAAGAGGGGTGGGAGAGGGTGGAAGCAGAGGGATGAGGATGTGCAGGGGAAGGGGGGCTATTAATCATAGGGTTGTGCAATTTAATGAGTGGGGGTGAGGGAAATTCAAAGAATTTGTTCTTGAATACAATGTATTCAAATTCTGTAAATACACTAGTAGAAAATTTAAAAAGAAAAACAACAAAGCCACAACAAAACACCAAGGTATTAAAGAGAACTACAAATTCATACAACTGAGCGGTTAAGAGCACGCAGGGGCAGCTTCGCCACAAGCCTAAGTGCCAGTCATGGAAAACCATCGACTGAATGGAGCCTGTTCCTACTCAGCAACCTCACCTACGGGAGAGTGAACCGCTACCCACCACCCTGCACCAGCCACACGCCTGAGCTCTTGCCCGCAGCCACTCTGATCCACCGCGTGGAGGGCCTTCCTCTTTTTCCTGATCCTTCACGTTACTAAGCACGGTGCTCTTCTCTAGAGGTTCGTTCCTCCTCATAAGATATGCTACGTACATTAGAATATTTCTAAATTCACTTCTAAAGAACATTCCTGGCTGTACATTCAAAACAAATTTCTTTGTTCTTTTGGCAGTCAGTGGAATTACCAATACTCTCTGTCAACACTACGATAGTGGCATAAAAAGTATCAATTCTTCTTTTTTCTTCCTTATTCACTGACCAAACTCCACATGTACATGAGGTAATTAAAAACACCATGACACGGTTACCTTGGATGGGAAAGTGGGGAGGTGCGGTACAAGGATGAAGGTAAAGTTAATAAATAATAAGCAGTAGATGAGACATTGTAATGACATTACTACCACTGTTGTTAGGTACCACTGCGTAAGACTCAGAGCAACCCTATGAACAACAGACCTAATCCTGTCCTTTCCTATGCCATCCTCATTGTGTCTGATGCACTTCAACCCACTGCTGCCATCACTGTGTCAATCCCTCTCGCTGAAAGCTTGAATCAACTGAAATTAATGTTACAAAACAAAATGTGTAAAGATGACTGAATGA